GCTAATTTTTTCTATGTATTTTTAGTTGTCCAATTAATTTCTTTCTATTTTTAGTAGAGACGGGGTCTCGCTCTTGCTCAGGCTGGTCTCGAGCTCCTGAGCTCAAACAATCAGCCGCCTCGGCCTCCCAGAGAGCTAGGATTACAGGCGTGAGCCACCGCGCCCGGCCGGTAATGGATCTTAAGCAAACCAAAAGCGTGCTCTGGAATTCTGTGTGAAATGTTACAAGTTAATCCCTGGTGCACAGTTTTAATGAATTGTCTTTCCAAAATGTTGTTAATCTAGCACTATCATTTTTGCATATTTTTTCTCTAGCCTGAATTTAAGGCTGGATAATCATTTTGGCATATTCTGACTTCAAGAGATCTTTAAACAAATAATTTGAATTTATAATAAAGCATATTCCAGCTGGGTGCAGTGGCTCAGGCCTGTAATCCTGGCACTTCTGGGAGGCCAAGGGGAGAGGATTGCTTGAGGTCAGGAGTTCGAGACCAGCCTGAGCAAGAGCAAGACCCCATTGCTACCAAAAATAGAAAAAATTAGCCTGGCATGGTGTTGTGTGCCTGTAGTCCCAGCTACATGGAAGGCTGAGGCAGTAGAATTGCTTGAGCCCCGGAGTTTGAGGTTGCAGGGAGCTATGATGACACCACTGCGATGGAGTGAGACTCTTTCTCTCAAAAAATAAATAAATAAAACATATTGTAAGACTTTGACACAGTACAGAAAATAAAGGAAAAGCAAAAATTCCTTCCTCCCCCAACACTTCCAGTTTTATTTCTTAGAGGTTCCTTAAGATTTTTATGTATCTTTCCAGAAAATATGTAGGCCCTTTAAAAAACATACACAAATGAGATCACACTATATATATTGTTAGGCATCTTATTTTTTTCACTGACTGTCTTTCAGATAATCCACCTCATTCTTTTCAGTGGCCGCAGAGTATTAATTATCATTTATGATTCATCATATAGGGTATTTAGATTAGTTCCCCTTGGAGTTGTTACCGTTCAGTGGTCCACTGGCTCTCCTTGTACAGTGTATCATGGCATATTGGGTGACTTCGCTATAAATTCCTAGTAGGAGAATTGCCTCACAAAAGATAAGTGCTTTGGAATTTGTGGAATTTGGTAGATATTGTCAAATAGTCTTCCAACAAGGTTGCACTTCTACCAACAGCATCTGAGAGTACCTGTTTTTCTCCATCCTCACTGACAGAGGATTTCTTCAAATTTTTTTTGTTTGTTTGTTTCCACATCTTTTTTTTTTTTATTTATTTCAGCATATTATGGGGGTACAGATGTTTAGGTTATGTATGTTGCCCTTGCCCCCCCCCTAAATTTTTAATTTTTTTCGGACTAATAGGTTAAGGGAAATCTCATTGTTTCAATTTATTATGAGTTAGGAAGAACATAGATTTATTTTAAAATAAATACGTGTTGGTTGCTTTTGACTTTAAGAATCAGAGGTCTTTTTCTTTTTTTGCTTTTTTTTCATTTAAGTACTTTGTGTTACCCATTTCTTACGGTTTTGGTGTTTTCTCTAGAAAGTCATCTTCCTAAAGTGTATTAATAAGTAAAATACATTTTGGGAAAAGATCAAGTTTTCTTTCCTCTTTTTTTTTCTTTTAAACCTTCGTTGCCTTGGGTTGAACTAGTATTTCAGTCGATTTCTCCACCTCTGTGCTTTGGCAAGATCTTCTGCAATAGTTTTAATCATTTGATTAGTAGTTTCCTTCAAATTGGTTGCTGTCCTTAGGGCATGGTCCAAAGCCAAGTTTAAAACCTATAGAGGAAAAGTCCACACACTTGAATTACACAAACTTACTACTATTTCTGTTGATTGGGTTCTTTCATTATTAAACATTACAGGGTGGGGTTTGTGGAGCAGACTGTTTTCCACATAGTCTATTTCTGTTTGTGAGAGTTGGTTTCCTAGGAAACCAGCCTGAGATGGAATACATCTGTTAGGGAAAGGGACAGAAAGAAGACTAACGTGTGACTGATGAGCATGACTCAGAGGGTGAGGTCAGCGACCTCCTGGGCTGTTTCCCTGCTGTGGAGGAAGGAAAAAAGCTCTTAGGGGGCCACTGCAGGGGATTTGGCGCCATAACATCACTGAGAGGGCTCCCAGGGATACAGCACATCCACGTGGAAAGGCTCAGACGTGGCCTGGGGATCAGAGCGACTGACTCGAAGGCGGGAAACGACTGGCGACCCTGACCACAGTGTCGCCGCAGCAGGCTGCCGTGTTCAAGCCTGGGCCAGGGCATCCTGTAGCTGAGGCACCACCCACAAAACACTTTCTTCAGGAAATTTCCCTGGGAACCAATTTAGGAATAATACAAACCATGTGGCTGCTAAGACTGTATGGCTTCAGGTTAGTGCTGAGCACAAAATTGTTTTTAGCAGAGCATTTTCTGAAGCCCCGATGCTGTAATAACTTAAAAGCTATCAGCTCGGCCAGGCGCGGTGGCTCACGCCTGTAATCCTAGCACTCTGGGAGGCCGAGGCGGGCGGATCGTTTGCACTCAGGAGTTCGAGACCAGCCTGAGCAAGAGCAAGACCCTGTCTCTATTTAAAAAAAAAAAGCTATCGGCTCTTTGGTCATCAAGAGCAAACTGATGACGGGCTGAAAGGATTCTAGAGTGTTTTTTCCAAGTCCTCACCTCAGATCTTGTTTCTTCAGTGCTGTCAAAGTCACCCAAGGATTTCCTTCCAGAGATCCTGCAGGAGCGGAAATGGGCTGAGGGTGTTGCAGAGTCTGAGCTGTAAGTCTCAAAAGCCTGAGGGTTTTTCCTGGAAGGCAAGAGCACACCGACACTTGTGTGAAGCACCACCACCAAACACGCTGTCCTGTTCAGCTCAGTGCCATGGTTTGGTAATGGCTGTGTGTGTGTGGGCCTGGGGGGCGGTCATGCACCCAGTGCCTTTCGTAGCTGTCACAGTGCCTGTGGCTGACCACGGCCAAGCTTCGGAAGGTGGTTGTTGCCATGACTCTGGGGGTCTTTCCTCCTGGAATGGTCTCCTTTTCCTTTGGTACAGAAAGAGGCAAGACTCCAAAGAGATTTTTTTATTCAGTTTTCATTCTTTTAGGGCCATCCTCCTACCCTACATATTTATAAAACAAATACATAAAACTGCCAACTGCAGGCACCTTGGGTTGAGGTCATTCTAGCACCAGTGAGCTTATGCCCCAAGGAGGCAGAAGCAGTAGAAAAATAAAAGCAGCGCCTCTTTAAGTAAGTGGGCTGCCCTTGACTACCACGCTATAGTTGCGGTTCTGTCTGAGGGAGGAGCCCAAGTCTGCACCAGGTGAGCGAGGGGTGCAGGGCTGCTGTGTTGCTCAGGTCGTGCACTGCATGGCTCTGGGCGCGGGGAGGGTTAGCCACATAGTCTATGAAGGGCACTGCCTGGAGCTGCGCTTTTCACAACCGTGAGTGGTGGTCCTAAGGGGACACCACAAGAACCTGCCCATGCATAGGTCTGTCATGGAACAACCCTCACATCTTCCCACAGCTGAGGTTTCCTCTGTTAAGCATTATTTCTTTGGTACATGCGACACTTGTGAACAACATCATCTCTAGAAAGTCTCACTTTAAATGCTTGTGACCTCAGAGCCTCCCCCCCCACTACTACATTGACAGTAGTTGGTTCTGTAGATGAGTTTAACAGATTGGACCTATCCCCCAGCTGAGAGGTGATCCGGCATCTGGGGCCCTCGCTGATGGAGAACTCTGGGCAGGGGTGGCAGTGTGGGGCAGTGGGAAGGGCATGGGCATCAGAGTCCTCTCCCTCCCCATGGCCAGTCAGTCTCCACCATCACCGATATTAATAGCAGCCATCACTTGCCAAGTACTGATCGTGAGCTAGGCAGCATTCTGAGTGCTTCAGTGAGTTTGGCACTGTTATTCCCACTTTACCCGTGGGGAAACGGAGGCACAGAGAAGTCAAGTAACCTGTCCAAGGACACAGAACAGAGATGAAAACCCAAGAAATCTCCAAAGGCCACCTTCCTAAACACTATACCACAGGAGTGGGTGGTGGGTTCAGACTGAGTGGGTCTGATCGTGGAGCCCCAACTATTGCCGCTCTGCCATGCTGCTGGTTCTGCCTCTTGCACAGCTCCTGAATACACAGACTTCTCTCTTTCCACCTCCACCACCCTTAGGCAAGCCACATTGTCTCACCTGGATTACTGCCCTGGCCCCTTCTCTGGCCTTTGTGCTCCAATCTTGACTCTTCTAATTCATTCCCCCTCCTTCAGCAGCTACAGCGATCTTTTAAAACACTAAAGAACTTCACTGGCTTCCATTGGTGCTCAGAGTCTGAAATCCTTCCTGGAGCTGGCAAGCGCCTGCCCAGCCAGCCTGGCCCTACCCATCCCGCCCGCCTTCCCTCTCCAGCCTCATCTTGCTCACTGCTGCTCCCTCTTTTGGGTTCCAGCCACACCGTTCCCGAACACGCCAAGGGCCTTCCCACATCAGGAAACTTTCTTAGACCGGAATGTTCTTCTCTCCTATCCCCACATCTCCTCGCTAGTTCATGCATACTTAGCCTTTGGAGCTCGGCTTCCCTGAACCCCCAAATTAGGTGACTAGCACTCTGTACGTCCTCTTCTTGGCACTTACAAAGACTGGCTCCTCTACCAAAAAATGTAAGCCCCATGAGGGCAGGGACAGTGGTTGCCTGTGTCACTGTGTCTGCAATATCTAGCACAATGACCTGCTTTTGGCACTCAGACATTTGTTGAATGAACAAATGAATGACTGAAGTATTAGATAGGCTTAGGTTTGAATCCTGGCTCTACTACTTATGACCTAGGTAATCTTGGGTAGGTAATTAACTATTAAGTACATTGTATGCACCCAACCAATGATAGATGTTTTTGTTATTATTAGTAATAGTAAAATAATACTTACTTTCCTGGTGTGGGCTCACGTTCACCTTGAAAGGATTTTGAACTCACTCTTTGGGAACGGATCCATTTTGGTTTTGAACGAGCTGAAAAATGTTAGCTATGATTAAATTCAGAGCATCAAAAATGATCCCAGAAGGTGCATATGTGAACATCATTTCCTGAACTTTTCTGCATGAAATATTTCATACAATTTTAATAAATAAGAAAACTAGGTAACAGAAAACAAAGAACTTTCTATTAACTATTTTGAATCAAGAAAAAGAAATTCGACTTTTAAAAGTTGTTTTATTAGCACATCAGAGACGAGGAGTTTAGGTTCCCTGGGCGCTGGCTGTGTGACCTGGGCATGATGTCGACCTTCTCTGGGCTCAACCGCTATATCTGATAAACAGGGGGATAATATTAATAGCTTCCAAGAGATTGGACCAAATGGATTCCTGAAATCCTTTCCAACTTTAGGATTAAGTCAGAAACAAACAATTGTGTTACTAAGACAACTCCAGAATATAGAGACTAAACAGAAAAGAAGAAAATGTGGGAAAGACAAGAAGAATGCCAGGGGGAAAAAAAGAAACAAGTCAGTGGCCAACAAATCTCCCTTCTCCCCTTCGCTTCCCTCTTCCTTCCTTCTCTCTTCTGTCTTCCCCTCCTCCTCCCTCCGGGTCTCCTGTTCCTTCACTGGTGTGAAGGTCTCGCTCACGCCCAGGAGGGTCCACTGGGCAAGGGAAAGTGGGAGGGACTGTCCCTCAGGTAGGGATGGCAGGGCAGAAGCCAGAAAGCCCACATTTAGTCACGCCGACCACCCAGACTTGGGTCAGAATGAGCAGAGACACTAATGAACTCAGTTTTAATATTCTGGTAGTTTCCAGATGTAATTTTTAGTTTTATCGGAAATGTAGAAACAGAGTCAGAAAGGACCACAGGGATATCTGGCCCAGTGTACACATCTGCGGCATTGGGACAAAGAACATTGTCTCCCAGTCTACAGATGGGGCTCACGACCTCCTGCAACAGCCCACCCCCTTTTCTGTCAGCTCCAACTGCTAGAAGCGTCTTTTTTTTTTTTTTTTTTTTTTGAGACAGAGTCTCTGTTGCCCAGGATAGAGTGCCCTGGCGTCAGCCTAGCTCACAGCAACCTCAAACTCCTGGGCTCAAGCGATCCTCCTGCCTCAGCCTCCCGAGTAGCTGGGACTACAGGCATGCGCCACCACGCCCGGCTAATTTTTTTATATATATTTTTAGTTGTCCAATTAATTTCTTTCTATTTTTAGTAGAGATGGGGTCTCGCTCTTGCTCAGGCTGGTTTTGAACTCCTGAGCTCAAACAATCTGCCCGCTTCGGCCTCCCAGAGAGCTAGGATTACAGGCGTGAGCCACCGCGCCCGGCCGAAGCGTCTTTTTAAACATTGAGGAAAAGCTGCCTCCTTATAACTGTACCCTTTCAGCCATTATATGTTTCCTGATGGAGTTCGAGATCACATTTCGGATGGCTCAGTTGCATTCCTCATTCATATATTAGAATGACAGGTCTCAAAGCTGCAGACCAGAGACAAAGGAGATAGTAAAGAAGTAGACCCTGTGGCTTCTGCAGTCTTAGTGACTGTCACTATGGGAGGATACATCCAGCTGGAGGATTTGGCAGCTTGGGGAGGGAAGGGAGGCACAGCTGAGGTCTTCAGTCTTGGGCCCTGGTGACTGTGAAAGACCAGAAACGTTCTGGTGCCCGGTCCCAGAGAGGGAGAGGAAGAGCTCTCAAGGTGTGGAGCGAAGGACGTGGCCCCTGTCAGAGGCCCAGGTATAGCTGTCGTTCAGTGATAAAACAGGGACTATTTCCTTCCCTCCTTTGTGTTCCCTTAGCATCCTTTGACCTGGCTTCTAGCACTTACACATTTTGCCCTGAACTTTCCCGATTTGGGTATAAGTTGGGTATAAGTTCCTTTCCCATTGTAAAGTCCGTGAGAGGGAACGGCCTTGTCATTCATCTTTATAAATAAATGTTTGTGAGATTTTAACTTTTTTTCAAAGGCAGCAAAATTGTGCAGTGAAAATTAGCCACATGTCTAAGGAGTGAAAAAATAGTCTATTTCTCTACATGCTGACTTTTAGTGGGGATATATTTATAAAGCGTTAGCCACTCCTGAATAGTAACAGCAACAGTGGTGATTATCCAGTGAGTCATTTCTTCAGAAAACACTTATGCGCTGTTACCAACTCGCACTGGTATAGCACTTGGTAACTTTCAAAGTCCTTGGTCACTCATTTCATATTTCCCAGCCCCAGCTCAGCCTCTCGCCATGCGGGTGTAGGGCTGGATTTGGAAGTGTCAGGCGGGTGCCGGAGACCTGGGCAGCAGGCTGGAGAGCCCAGGGCTCCCCAGATATCAGCGGTGGCCACTGTCACGGGGGTTCCCATGCCTGGGAGGCTGGGTTGTTGATGGATGGGGTCCTGCAGGCGGTGCACTTACAAGGTGAAGAAGTTTTACTTTCATCTAAAGAGCGGGGCTGGCCAAAGGCACCTCTTTCGCTATGATTTAAGTAATTCTGTCCTGGAGTGTTGTATCTGTAATGAAATTCTAAAAAGAAAAGATTAAAAGTACAATTCGTTGCCTGGGAACAATGGCCGTCCCCTCTTGCCTTTCCGAGGCCCCTGAGTGTGTCTCACCTTTAGGTGGTTCTTTACTGCAGACTCTTCTGGAGTTAGGAATCTTAGTGCCGCCGTCCTCACATTTGCTACCCTGCCGTCCGGTTCCAGGATCAGAACAGAAGCTGTGTCCTGCATTAGAACCTGAAAAAGCCCAGTAACACAAAGGAAGCGTAAGTCTTGATTATGGTCATAAATGCGATGTGGAAAGTAGCGCTCTAACTGTGCAGGGTGAGTTTTGGGCACCAAAGTGTTCAGCTTCCCTGGCTGTGTTACCAAGGTGAATGACCAGCTTAACGATGACACTTAGGGTCCCCTTCTGACAACTGAACGACGTTTTGGTAAGGAGCAGTTCTGATATGAAAGTCTCAAGATGTGCTGAGCATGTAAAGGTCTGGTCTGCGGAGTGAATAATCTGTGAGAATTGGCCCACTGAACTATCAGATAATCTTGCATTTTGTACTTGTTTTTCTAGATTTGCCCTGATACATCCACATTCTTTCTCCCAGACCCTGCTATAGTCAAGAGCTTGTGTTTTGTTAACCGGACAACTGGAAAGATGGTTTTTCTCTATGTGACATTCACATGCCTGTATAGGAGCCTGCATCATGACTTTGCCCTCTTGGCCTCAGAGAAGCTAGTAGCAGAGCACATGTTGTCTGGCGCTGGTCTAGAACGTGTCCGGCAGGCTGTGGGCAGTGAGGC